GTGAGGTACGGGCGTAGCCCACTCTCACTCCTATTCTAGTTTGGGCCTCGCCCCTATTCTTCTACTAATGAGATATGGAACCCCATCCACACTCTGCTATTGGTGAGATACGGGACCTCGTCCACACTCACCTCCCTACTAGGCACATACATGTATCACACAGACAACAAGTATAAACTATCATATAAACAATTCCTTGGGCACCCGCCCGCTATTACTGGACCTCCACCTGAAAATAATACTAGCATACTGTGCCTAGGGCTAACCCCCGTGTCTTCTACTCATAACTACATGGGCCGGCATTGTGGCCTTAGACCCATTCATACAAAGGGAAACTCACCTACACTGGCTGAACTTGCTGATGATCTCACTAGTTACTGCTCGACAACTCACAGAACTCCTGCTCCCCTTGCTCCCCGAACTACCAATATCAATGCAACACTGAGTCTAACTGACCCCGAAAGACAACCAAGTCCACCCTGGTCCAAGGTCAAAGTCCTGGTCAAAGTCAACCTTCCAGGTCAACCCTACTCGCCGAGTCTCCCTACTGACTTGTCGAGTTCATAATGTTCAGATTCCTTCCATTCGCGACTCGACTTGCCGAGTCAGTCCATGACTCGCCGAGTCTACCGATTTCAGAGTCCACACCTGTCCAACTCACTGAGTCTCCACCCGACTCACTGATTCGAGTCTCAACTCGAAGGGTTTGGGGTTTCGCGACCTGACTCGCCGAGTCCAAGAACAGACTCGCCGAGTACAAGGCAATCTTTATACGACTCGACGAGTTGTTCATCCTGCTCGTCGAGTTTCTCCACAACGTCATGCTACTCGCCGAGTCCCTTCAGTTCTCCTTACATGCAGAGGACTTTTGAGTCATGCATGGACTCCAAGCTGTAGATCTACCCTTCCCAAGCCTATTCCACACGTAAAGTAGCAAACTTTACGTGTAGAGAAGGAGATCTAGGCAAAATATGCTATAAACTAGGGCTTAAGGCAAAAAGGCTCCATAAACCACTCAAGGGCTGATACTTTACAAAATTCTAGACCAAAATAAGCATGGATCTGAGGTAGCAACCTCAGATCTGAACCTCTAGCTCAAAGGTTACTCTTAAGCCAAGAATGCCCAAAACACACACAAAGATCTAGGTGCAAATGAGGGGAGATAGCAGCTTGTTACCTCCAAGATGAACACCATTGAAGTAGATCTCGGATCTACACCTCCTCCTTGAAGCAACCTACTTGCCCTTCAAGTTCATTTCCCCAAAGTTCCTTCCTCCAAGCTTTAACTCTCAAAATGATGGAAGCTCTCACGAATTCAAGGGTGCACTGGCTCTCTAGGGTGATATGGGGGCTGAGGGAGGGACATAACACCCTTTAAATAGGATACAACTCCCGGGATTAGGGTTTTCCTCGTTCAGACCAGACTCGCCGAGTCACCTTGGCCGACTCGCCGAGTCGGTCGCTTACTGCTCGACCCGGATCCCGCTCGGACTCGCCGAGTCCCTCCTTGGACTCGTCGTGTCTACCCTTAAATTAGGGCTTTTCTTTCCTTGTTTGGCCTTTAAAACTTTGGGTGTTACATCATGTATGGATGAAAACCGGTTTTTTTTTATCAAATAATACATCTCTTACCTCTGTGATAGAATTAACTAAAATATAATCATTAGATTATAAAACAAAGAACATATATGTCTTGGAATCTTAGTATAACCAATGATGATACAATTAATGTCTCTTTCACCCAACATTTTCATTTTGGGTTCAGTAAAGTTTGCTTTTTTATACGAAAGTTCAGGTGGAATTATTTTCTTTTTCGTTTTTTTGAAACACTAAGAAATATATAGATAGTTGTTAACACAGCTTCTTCCCATAATCCATCAGTCAACCCCGAATATGACATCGTAGATTTCATCATTTCGTTGAGAATTCTATTTTTTCTTTTTAATATTCCATTTCTTTCCAAATTTATATGAAGACTGCACAAACTTCATAATCTTCTTTTTTATTGAAATAAATTGCCTTAACAACATCTGCAATAGATTTAGGGGAAGAAGAGACTTGAATAAACATAAGAAATGGAAACTACCAACAAAAAAAAGGAAGCAGTGATTGGAACCATAGAGAGGTTTTAATTGGAATCAAAAGAATGGTTGATCGGCACCAATTGTTTCAATAATTTAGGAACATATGGGAGTGGGGTATGATATGTACAATGAAAGTCGCGGATGAATAGAGATGGGAGGACAACACGTCGGGAAGCTAGAGGAGGGGAGCATGACTCAGAATTCCAGAAGGTGGAGCCTATCTGCACAGAACATGAATATTTTTGAATTGATGTTGATATTTATCATAACTTTTAAGAGGTAACTACGTGGCGTTAAGTAAACCAGACGAAATTACTATAGGTGGTAGGTGGAAATTAGGGTTTTTAAATACAACAATCATTTAAGAAAATACAATAATTATACGCCATGGTACTTTTAGCACATCTGCTCTCGAATACATTTCACTCTTTCATTTTTTGGTATATATTATAACGTGTTAAATCTCACATCGTTGATTGCTTGTATATATCTACAAATCTTTTACACGTAGATTTCAATCAGAAGACATCAAACAAATAAATTACTTAATGGGCCATTTTTACTATATTCAATTGATTATTTCATATAGTTACACGATCAATTATGTACCAATGAATTGGTAATGACGGAAGATTGATATACAAAAAATTGATGATCTAGCTATCTAGGAGAGCGGAGGCTGTAGGGTTGTTTGCGATTCAACTAAATCAGGCTACATTATTATTATTATTATTATTATTATTATTATTATTATTATTATTATTATTATTATTATTATTATTATTAACTCAAATGAAGTTATTACAATTCAATGGTGAAGAATATTACAGATAAAAAATCGATGTAGGTTCAATTAATATGAACCCAGCTTTTCCAACGAACCAATCTCTTCATACAAGCATAGGAATTAATGGGCAAGAACGCCTATATATATCGTCACCTTGCACAACATTTTCTTGCACCAGCAACCATTGAAATCACATAGAAAGGAAAACACAAGTTTCTTTTTCAGTACTCGGATTCTTGAAAAATGGCTAGAATGGTAATGATGGTCTTATGTGTAGTCGTTACATGCATGGTGGTGGCGGAAACCTACGCTCAGGCTATTACCTGTGATCAGGTGGTTAGTGACTTATCGCCATGCTATGGCTACTTAACAAATGGCGGTGCTGTGTCATCGGCATGTTGCAGTGGGGTTGACGCACTCAATAGCGCTGCAAATTCAGCCTCTGCTCGTCAGACTGCATGTAACTGCTTGAAGAGTTTTTACTCATCCAACTCCGGCATCAATCTCTCTAACGCTGCCAGCCTTCCCAGCGACTGTGGTGTCAACCTTCCTTATAAGATCAGTCCAAGCACAGACTGTTCCACGTATGTTAAAATATATTTTTATATTTGTATTTTATCAATTTTCGTTTATTTTTGCATGAACACGCATAAAACTGTATTGACGTGGTTTGACATATATTTCTGTAGGGTGGAGTGACGCGGAGATTCTTATGCATGTTTGGAAGACTGGAAGCATATATATCTAAATTTATAATAAATATCGAGAGCATTGTATTATTGTTAGACATATATGACTGTATGTGTCTCTTTAGTTTGTACCGGCCTTAATTTCACTTCAAATAATGTCATGTAATTGCATTTTAATTAATAGATGAATATATAATATTCAGAATACGCATATAACTTATACCAAATATGAAAATTATCTTCGCTAACGAAATAAAAATACATTGTTAGCATATAGTTTTGAGACATATTTTAGTTAATTAGTTCTTTATGGTCTCAACAAAGCTACCTTAATACTATTATATGATGTTATAATTTAATCCTAAAATCTAATAGAACCTATTTGGTTTGCACATAGTTATATATATATATATATATATATATATATATATATATATATATATATATATATATATATAAAATATGTCAATTAGTGACCAAAACGAAATGGTCACTAACAATAGAATGTGGCATCATTAAATGATTTAGTGACCAAAATTTCGGTAGTCACTTTTCGTCACTATAGGTCTGTCACAAAACTTTAGTGACCAGGTATAAATATGGTCACTAAACAGTGACTAAAATATAGTCGTCACTAAATCTATGACGACCCGCTGCGTCACTAAATGTTGTCACTAATCAATGAAAGTCGTCACTATTTTATCTACTTAGTGACTAATAGAAGTTGTCACTGTTTTATCCGATTAGTGACCATAGAAAGTGGTCACTGGTTTATCTAATTAGTGACTATACCAGGTCGTCACTGATTTAGCCTTTTAGACAAAAAAAAAAGGGTTAATAATTATGAAATTATTGAAATATTAAATGTTATTTTCAAAATGAAATATAATAATATCCAATTAGACAAAAGATAAGCCACATGCTATAAATGTTTATAATACAACAACAATAATCAAATAAATCTTCATATAAGAACAGATGATTTCCCACCTAAATTATAAATGGAATCAAATGAAAAGTTCCATTTGTTGGGCATCCTTATGGAATACTTTTCAGACTCCTACAAAATACAATGATAAAATAATCATTTACCATATAGAATGGTCAAATGGTCATTCATTAAATAGAAGGGTAAAATGGTCATATACTCGAAGGATGGTAGGATATTGTTTCTTTTGTTGGTAAGCATTGTTTATAAATAGAAGGGTAAAACGATCATTTGCTCAAAAAAGATTAAGATACTATTTCATGGTCTTTTTGCATACTAAAGCAATTTCCCATTGCACACCTACCACATTTACATTAAAAAAAAAACTAAATAAAATATAAAAAATATGTCCTTATAGAAGAGATAACTCAACCACTTATATTTTTTTTTAAATGGTTACCATGATTGAGGGGCTAAGCGATCCGTTGATATTAGCTCTTGTGACAAATAACTTAACCACATATCCTCCTTGAGGTGCTACAACATACGAGACCAAAGATTATGTAAAATTACTATTTTATCCTCTGGGGGTTTAGTTATAGTGTTATAATACCAATAGGAACTTACATATCTAAGCTATAAGGAGAAACCAATCTGGCATTGCTAAAGGCACGCTCAGCTTCTAGATAATCAACCAATTCAAAATGAGCTTTTCCCACCTGTGGTTAAAATTACCAAAATACCCCCCAAATTGAGATTTCCGTTAATATCAACGTAAAATATATTTACAGAAAAAAAAAACATGGAACAAAATACTAGATATTCATTAATTCTAAATTTTATAAAAGAATGCTTTTATATATATATATATATATATATATATATATATATATATATATATATATATATATATATATATAAACATTAATTTACCTGAAAGAGAACCCAGCCTGTGTTATATTGCTTATGAGGAAGTTGAAGAAACACATCAAGTGCATCCTGTTTCACAAAACTTAGTTATCAGTAAATTACATCACTAAAAAAGGTCTTCTTTTTAACTATTTTACTTTCATTTCTTTTTATTCCACCATTCTATATAATAAAAGCTAACTTCAGTATATCAATTTCAAATTGAAAATTAAGTAATTAGAAAGAAATTGGTTGTAAAAAAGCTATAGAAAAATGAGTAGGTATTTAGTTAGACATACAATTTCACTACCGATTTTGGAGTTGGCGGTGTTGGACCTGCTGGTCACCGCTGAGTTCAGACCTGCAATGTTGTCAATAGAAAGGAATTAAAGTAGGATACTATAATAAACATGTAACAAAAGTGAGTTGCTATTTATAGGATTTACAATATTTGTAATAGAATTAGTAAATTGAAATACAAGAAAAAAAAATATTAACTATAAAGTAAATATGGATCTTACTAACGTGTGATTGAAGCATCTCGTCTAAACTTGGAAAAAGCTATCCCACAGCCTGCAAGAATATGATATTAGAAATGGTTAATTGCAAGAAGTAGCAATGAAATTTTATACATTTGTTTATTAAAATAAATAAATTTATAGCAATCTTATCCCAATACAAAGCAAGTTTATGTGGTAATTTTAATGTATAAGGTCTTAATAAGATAAACACATGCTATAATTGTGTCTTTATAAATTATGATGTCTGTATAAGAACAATAATGAAGGTACAATGTTGTAATACACATAAATGAAAGCATGTTGCTATTTCTTTCCATGTGGAAAACCTAAGTACCAAAAGTTGTTCGTCTTTTTTGTGAAAAAAATCATTATATAAATGAAATTAAAAATATCGTAAAATAATAAAATGATTTACTATTTGACTTGGGGGAACAAATCCTTTTCCATCAACATACTTTTTGGTTATAATATGATACAGACTCTTCAGCGGTAGGGAAATGCTGCAAGAAGAAGTGACACTTAATATAGAGTTTGTATCAGGGGTAGTTTAGTAAATTGAACAATTGATGTTACCTCGAGATATAAAAGAATATTTGAAACCATTAAGCCTACTCTTGCCATTCCGACCTTACAGTAGACAACGTGTAAAGAGTTTAAAGGTGTATGAGAAAATGATGGAATGGAAATTTGGAATAGACAATGGAATGGAATGACATCATAAAGATCTAGAGCAACATTAACAGCACCATTCTCCAGTTCAGGGCTTCCAACTTCTTTCTGTGAATATACAGTTAAACTTAAAACCACATTATTACAGTAAAAAGAAAAAGAAAGAGAAAAACCATAAATTGATTAAAAAGAACAAATACATACCAGAATTCATGTAAGAGCAGTAACTTATTACATAACAAGTGAGAGTTTTTTTCAATTGAAAGTCAAGGTAGATGTCTCTTTTCACTATACTTCCTCGAATGGCATCATATATTCTTTCAACCCTACAAGAGTCAATATGCGAGCAATGTAGTAAAAATGACATAACTACCCCTGATTAAAGCCCAACAGAAAGTAAACAAATTGAGAAAACAATGAAGTCCTTTTTATTTACCAAATTTTGCAGCAACTTATAGCCTTTAGTCAATACCATGGTTGAGAAAGGTGAAGAGGAAGATAAAGCTGATTTAATTCACCTTTTAAATCATACACATATTGAACCTGAGGTTATAAGGTTAATGGTGGGGAATGAACAGTTAACCAAAAGATTTGTGGAAAATGATGCTCAACAAAACATGTCCAAGCCATTTAAGATGAGTAACTAATCGCTCAGATTCTTTTGTATTGTGTTTTAATGATTTTTATTCCATTTTTATTAGAGGAGGAAATTCTAGTCTATTTATATGAAAAAAGGTCAATTTGGATTCAAAAGTCACCTAGTTATTTATTAGCCTGTTATTTGAAAATTGCAGCCCAAAGAGTCATCAGCTCTTTCTGTATCCAAAAGTAAGTATGCTTTCTTTAAGATTCATGTTGGTCTAAAGATAGAGGAAACAATGGTTTTCAGAATAATGACATGTTAATAGAATAATATATAAAAGAATTAGTAATCAATATAACAATCAGAGTTAGGACAACAACCACCAAAACAGATTTCCAAAAACAGTTTAGTTTACAAAGTTAAGAACTAAATACACAGAGGTAATATACCCAAACTGGCAAATTTTGGTTACCCAAATCATAACAGTTTGAGCTTTTGTATGTGACCTAAATAGATCACGTTCTTAATTGGATACATCACAAGTTTGATAGCTTAAGGAACTATTTAGGTACGTAGAAATTGTAATAATACTTGAGTTGGTTCAAGGTTACTTAAATATGTTTGGAAGAAAATGAGTAAAGCTTTATTCCTTTGCTTATCTAGGAGACTGTAGGTCAAGTCAAATTAGTGGCATTGTTAAGAGAATGAACTGGGAAGCCTTTACAATCGTTTTCCTTATCTGATTAAAGAATAAACTACGGGAGGAGCTAGCATAGAACAAATAAATTCATTGTCAAAAGACAAATCAGAGAAATTCACAACCACTTAGAAAGAAAAAAAATCAGAATTAACCGAATAAAATCGGAGTCATAGAAATACACTAAATGGGGGGAAGAGAGAGAGAGAGAGAGAGAGAGAGAGAGAGAGAGAGAGAGAGAGAAAGAGGGATACCAGAAACGCAATGACCAGAAATGGTAAATGCGATGAACGGAAAAAGAGAGATGAATGGGGATATGACTACGGTGTACGTATCAGTGTGAATCCTTTCATGTCCGATCAGGTTGATACGGCGATGCAATGAAATTAGGTCGAAATAGTGATGCGATGTGATGCAATTAGGTCGAAACAGTGAGGCGATGTCATACGATGCAATTAGGTGCAAACTCTCGTATCAGAAGTCGCGAAGGGAGAAAGAAGAAAATGTAAGAACTGTAACAGTGAATCTTGTAAGTTTTTGTTTCACTGGTTGAAAATGGTGTTTATGAATTGATTTTTACACCAAAATGTTCCTATTATTTTTAATGTTTTCAATTATGAACCAACTAATAAAGGTGATAAAATAGATGTGTATTTCCATAACTATGTTTTATACACCAGCAATTAGGGACTATTTATGTGACAAGCATTTGTACAGGGGCGTTTCTTGAATAACAGTAATATATATTGTCTATGTTTGAAATCAATGACTTGAATAGAATTCAATAATATTTCTTATAAAATGAATTAGTTAAGACCATTTTCGTTATAATATTATACCACAGGAACCCTTTCCGTGATAAAATATTATTTAAATGAAAATTGATTTTTATTACTTATGACTTTGTTTGTTTAACTTTTAGTGACAATTACTTATGGTCACTAATTTTTCAATTATGAAAATAACCGGTGACCACTATTTTGGTCATTCACTCTCCAATTCAGTGACCACTAATTTTGGTTATTAAGCTTTTAATGGAGTGACTACAAAATTTACTTTTATTATACATTTTAGTGACCAGTTGGTGACCACTATAAGAGTATTGGTCATTAAATTTAGAACATTATGAAATCTCAGTGACGACTTAAGATGTGGTGATTAAATGATCTTGTTAGTAACCAGATTTTGGATTGTCACTAAAAAACTGGTCACTAATAAACACTTTTCTTGTAGTGTATATATATATATATATATATATATATATATATATATATAATATTTTAATTAATACTTGTATTAAATCATCTTCATGAAAGGGACTATGCACTCACTTGATAAAATGGGAGACTGATTATTTGGGTCGAGCTTCGTCTAACACCTCAGATACTCCTTGATGTGACCTATGTATAATTACTATAGAGTTTTAGTCTAATGATCCTCGAGAAGAAGAATAGTTTACATCCTCACTAATCTCGATGTCTACATCAAGATCTATCAAGTAAGGATCAGCCAGGAAGGACAACTGGGTGGTAGGATCATTTCAGCATAATAGTTTTTTTTTATATCCAAAAACCAAGCGAACATGACCATTCTAAACACCTCTTCCGTAAGTAGATCAATCTGTATAACGACATGGAATTACTGATAAATCTTATTGATAGGTTCATAATAACGACTTATTACTATAAAATATAAGTAACACAGAAAAGACTCGAGTGTAGCTTAACTTATAGAGGTTCTTCCCGAGAAAGTTAGTAAATTGAACTAGTAGAGCTTCTACTCGCTCGCTACTACTTCTTCAGGGATCGCAGGGCTTCGCCGAAGGCTAAAACTAAGGGAAATGGGCTAAAATCGGAGAATTAAAGAGAATGTGAGAGAGAGAGAGAGATAGAGAGAGAGAGAGAGAGAGAAAAAAAAAAGGGACGAGGATGGTGGTACACGCACCTCCCATTTTTCTATTTATAGTACAACTGCGCGCCGCACAAACCTGAAACATCACACCTCCCATTTTTCTGCCACGTCTCAGAAATATGGTGGTACACGCCCCACCTTTTAGAAGGTGCGCACCGTGCAACCCTCCTGCGCGTGGCGCTGCATGGAAAATTTATGAAAATCGTATCTTCTTCATATCAGCTATCTTTTCGAAATTCTTTATATCCCTAGAAAACTCTCAACATGATCTACAACTTTTGTTTAGACTACGTCAACAAAATTTGACTTTATTTTTAAAGCCATTTTTTTTAACTTAGACTGTTAAAGTCTGTTAAAAATTAATAGTTCCCTCATATAATATCCGTTCTCAACTGTCTTTATATCAACAGAACCATCTGGACGAGATCTTCAACCCTCGTTTAGATTGTTTTTCCTAACAATCAACCGATTTCTACTTCGGTTTCTGAGCCGTATACGGCTACGCTAAAATTTCTAAAAATCCTAACTTCCTCTTATGAAGTCAGATTGGGACATTCTCTATATATACGCTCTCAGTGTAACGACTACTACGACTTTCGTTTAGATTATTTACCATAAATAATACTTTTTTGATGATATCTAGTTATCATTGCAACTAATAATTATCTCATTTATTCTTTAATTAGCTAACCTTATCTTATGGGCGTTACATTTGGTCCCTCCATGCACAACCTTTTTCAAAATAACTCCAAACTAACTTAGAAGCTTCAAATAACTTCTAAAATGGTCCCTCTCCATCCTAATCTTCACAAACTTAATCCAAGTTATCAAGTTGGTCAAATATTTAGTCAACCCTAAGTCTTACCCAATTGTCACAAATGCCCCCTTAAGTTTTAAGATGGTATAATTTCCACTTCTAACCTTCTAAACTTTATATCAACTAATGAAATAATTATCCCTTTATGATTTCACTAAATAAATCATTTTTCTTTTATTATTTTATTAATTTCATAACAGTGTTAAATTTTAGGATGCTACATTGGTGGCCATGGTCGATGGCTTGGTAGTTTATGGTTGTGATGATAGTGGAATCAAACCAAGGTAAAAAAATAAGAGAAGAATTTTTTAAGCAACTTACGTGACTCAAAGATTGCCACCACTAGTTCCTCCTTTCTCCTTGAATCGTCATCTCCTTCACCCCCTCCCCCCCCCCCCCCCCCCTTCTTCTCATAGTCGGCGGAAAAAAAACTTTATTCTTGCTCTTCCTTTTTGAGGTACACTTCACCACACATATACACACATCACATATTTTTTGTTTGTAAGGATCGGATCCAGGTACCAGATAATTAGGGAGAGGGTCGATCAGCCCTCTAGTAGATTCAAAATTATGGAATTTTCCCATATTTTATGATTTAGCCCCTAAGGAAAGACATAATGGTAGTTATTGCCCTAAAAGCCATTTTTCTAGCAAGTTTCATCTACTTCTTACCCAAAATAAATCTTTTCATCAAAAACAAAATATAATGAGACTAAATAAATAAATATTAATTAAACAAAGTCATATACTGAGAATCGGGGTGTTACATTAGAGTTACATATAACTTCAAATTCCTTGTTAGTCCCACTAGAACTAGGAGCCATATCCTTCGGCTCATGTGTAACGACCCAAAATTTAAGACCAAAAATTTCTTTTAATAAATCATTACTTAAATTAAAGTCATCATTCCAAAACATAATATGAGTATAAGTTTTCAAAACACATGTTCATTATCAGAGTAAACATTCCCAAGCTGTCTAATCTATGGTGTGTGCCATGCGATCACCCCGAGCTCTTCCCTCCGCAACCGGAAGTACCTGAAACCAAAACTGAAAACCGAAAGCACGAAGCTTAGTGAGTTCCCACCCTACCACATACCATGCATAACCACATACTGCACATACTCGGCCACGCCCACTATCTTGGGCCTCGCCCACTACCTCGGGCCTCGCCCGCTACAACGGCCCCGCCGCTCCAGGCCCCGCCTGGCTTCGAGCCCCGCTCGGATACAGATCTGTTTTACTTAGGCCTCGTCTGTTACAGGGCCTCGCCCGCTAACAAATAATAACGCATAAACATTTCACAACACATAACTAACACATGCAATTGGTTATGTCCTAAGGCCTCGCCTATCCTGGGCCTCGCCCATGCCCTGCTACTGATGAGTCATGGGACCCTGTCCACGCTCCTAATGGTAGTGAGGTACGGGCCTAGCCCACTCTCACTCCTATTCTAGTTTGGGCCTCGCCCCTATTCTTCTACTAATGAGATATGGAACCCCATCCACACTCTGCTATTGGAGAGATACGGGACCTCGCCCACGCTCACCTCCCTACCAGGCACATACATGTATCACACAGACAACAAGTATAAACTATCATATAAACAATTCCTTGGGCACCCGCCCGCTATTACTGGACCTCGTCCTGAAAATAATACTAGCATACTGTGCCTAGGGCTAACCCCCGGGTCTTCTACTCATAACTACATGGGCCGGCATTGTGGCCTTAGACCCATTCACACAAAGGGAAACTCACCTGCACTGGCTGAACTTGCTGATGATCTCACTAGTTGCTGCTCGACAACTCACAGAACTCCTGCTCCCCTTGCTCCCCGAACTACCAATATCAATGCAACACTGAGTCTAACTGACCCCGGAAGACAACCAAGTCCACCCTGGTCCAAGGTCAAAGTCCTGGTCAAAGTCAACCTTCCAGGTCAACCCTACTCGCCGAGTCTCCCTACTGACTCGCTGAGTTCATAATGTTCAGATTCCTTCCATTCGCGACTCGACTCGCCAAGTCAGTCCATGACTCGCCGAGTCTACCGATTTCAGAGTCCTGACCTGTCCAACTCACTGAGTCTCCACCCGACTCACTGATTCGAGTCTCAACTCGAAGGGTTTGGGGTTTCGCGACCTGACTCGCCGAGTCCAAGAACAGACTCGCCGAGTACAAGGCAATCTTTATACGACTCGACGAGTTGTTCATCCCGTTCGTCGAGTTTCTCCACAACTTCATGCTACTCGTCGAGTCCACCCATAGGACTCGCTGAGTCCCTTCAGTTCTCCTTACAAACAGAGGACTTTTGAGTCATGCATGGACTCCAAGCTGTAGATCTACCCTTCCCAAGCCTATATAACACGTAAAGTAGCAAACTTTACGTGTAGAGAAGGATATCTAGCCAAAATATGCTATAAACTAGGGCTTAAGGAAAAAAGGCTCCATGATCCACTCAAGGGCTGATACTTTACGGAATTCTAGACCAAAATAAGCATGGATCTGAGGTAGCAACCTCAGATCTGAACCTCTAGCTCAAAGGTTACTCTTAAGCCAAGAATACCCAAAACACACACAAAGATCTAGGTTCAAATGAGGGGAGATAGCAGCTTGTTACCTCCAAGATGAACACCACTGAAGTAGATCTCGGATCTACACCTCCTCCTTGAAGCAACCTACTTGCCCTTCAAGTTCCTTTCCCCAAAGTTCCTTCCTCCAAGCTTTAACTCTCAAAATGATGGAAGCTCTCACGAATTCAAGGGTGCACTGGCTCTCTAGGGTGATATGGGGGCTGAGGGAGGGACATAACACCCTTTAAATAGGATACAACTCCCGGGATTAGGGTTTTCCTCGTTCAGACCAGACTCGCCGAGTCACCTTGGTCGACTCGCCGAGTCGGTCGCTTACTCCTCGACCCGGATCCCGCTCGGACTCGCCGAGTCCCTCCTTGGACTCGCCGAGTCTACCCTTAAATTAGGGCTTTTCTTTCCTTTCTTGGCCTTTAAAACTTTGGGTGTTACAACTCTCCCCCACTTAAACTAAACTTCGTCCTCGAAGTTTACTATACTTACTGCCTGCGATCTGCCTCCAATACCCCACCATTCATTCTAACACCAGTTGCCTAACTTTGTTGGCCTTCCAATCAGTCATTCGGACTAACGTCAATCCTTACAGATAATAATCTCGGGTGCATCCTGAACCTGAACATCCTGGAAACGCAACTTACTCAACCGACAATCTTTCTGGTATTCTCCGAGTACTGCAACATAGGGGTTCACCCCTTCTTTCCTTGCGTGATTTCCTTGCCTTCCCAAGGCAACGCTCCATAACCATTTATCTCCTCTGCCACTGGGAAGACCCTGTCTTCAGCCAATCTATTACTCCCGCTACTCTGTATGGGTCATCATTGCTAGTATCCACTTGGCATTCTTTCTACTATCATTCGGTGCCGCGCACCCCACGATCGACTAACTGAATTCCACCATACTCTGCATCCCCGCACTGCTACTGACTAGAAATCCTGCTATTCCTTATGTGGCTTCCGGATGAACTGAGACCATCTTGGTCCCTACCAACCTATCAATATCTGGATTATCGAATCTCACCGATTACTGACCCAGCACAACCACTAGTCGCTCCCAGCGACATTCGAAGATACTTCCGCCACCTATACTGCTCAATCTATTCTACGAGGCTGGCACTACAATGTTCTGGGATCCCCGACCCCCTATCTAGACACTAAGATCCTTACCATGTCCCACCTGCACTGCTAAAACTCACAGGCCTCGCCCACAGGTCCCACCCAACCATACTACTGAGCAACCCTGCTCTCAGGTCTCACCTATACTGCTATTCTCATATGGGCCTCGCCCACGGGTCACACCCGAATACATCCTAGAGCGGCCTCTCCCAAGGTCTCATCCCTCAAGGGCTATACCGGCAACTCTTCACCATTCTCATCCATTCCCCAATCCCGATCCCTATCTGAAAGCTAGGAGATAAGGGCCTCGCCCCGACTCCGCCAACGAAGCTACTACGGAATGCTACGGCTGCCCCGTAGCTCAAAACCTGAGGCTCTCCCGCTGCTCATCCATGCTCTACATGCTGCTCCTGCCACTGACTGCTAACACGAAAACATCTCCCGCTATTTGACCTCAAGATCTCCATTCCGACTTACACGAGTCCTACAGGCGACCCTTCAACCTGAATCGAACCACATACTCACCATTACCCTTTACACACACAGACTGATGGGGAGTTTCTCAAACTCCCAACCCTGAA